AAAGAGAGGGAGAGAACGTTTGGTTGCCTCGCGTGTACCCCCCTGCTGGGGCCTGGCCTGCAACCAAAGCACAGGCTCTGATTGAGAACTGAACTGCTCACCCTGTCGTTCATAGGGCAGCACTTAATCGGCTCAGCCACACCAGCCAGGGCTATATCCACATATTCTTGTGGCATATATAGGGTTTCACTTTTCACATTATTTTTTTAACCCACTGGGAATTAATTTTCATATCAGGTAAGAGGTTGAAATCTAAATTTACTTTTTCAGTTGGTAAGCTAGTTGCAAAAGGTTTTCAAATAATTCATCTTTCCTCACTTACTTGAGATGCCATATCTATCATATACTAAACTGGTGTGTGTTTGCGCTAGTATTTTCATGTTTTATTCTGTCCCACTGATCTCAGAAAGAAGGCATTATATTGTAGTGGCAAACTTTGCAGGCTCTGAAGTCAGATTATTTAGGGTGTGCCTCAGTTCCCTCATTTGTGAAATGGAGATAATAATAGCACCTAGTTTAAAAAAATAGCACCTGATTAACATAATGGCTGTGAAGATGGAACAAGATAATGCACATAAAGTGCTCATTGCAGCGCCCGCCCGACACAGAGCGATCAACCAAAGGACAGCAGGCACTCCAGTGATCCCTATCTGCCCATTCCTGGACCAGTGACCCAGGAGGCTGAAATTACTGAACACATAGCTTTGAGCTGATGGGACAGCTCTGCTGCTTAGTGTCTGCATGACCCTGGGCAAGTTACTTATCTTTTACTGTCTGTCTCTGTGTTCTGGTTTCCTCACTCACAGTGCGGGTATGAAGGTATCTACCGCAGCATGCCGTGACTATTACACGTGACAATATCAGCTGAATGTTTATTCTTCTGCTGATTATTACAACGTTATAATTTATTATCTGTCTTTATGTGTTGTAGCCCTTCTCATTATCTTTCCCCCAAAAATTTTATGGGGAGTGTCAATCATTCACAGCCTGGTCTACTGTGCGTGAATAAAACAGAATCTCTGCGAAATCCATGCCTAGCCCCGCCTCTGTGCTGAAGGTCGCTGCAACCAGGGAGGTTTTGAGCAAGCGACCTGTAGGATGTAAGAGGGCATGGGGAAGGGCCTGGGGGGTGGGGCTTTGAAGTTCACACAGCAGGTTTTAAAAAATGTTTTTATTCTGTTTTAATTCTTACTTTAACAAAGACATTTGCATAGTTTAAAAAGCCAACTAGTTCTACAACGCATTTACTGAAAACAACCCCCGCGCCGCGCCCTCCACTGACCCACGCTCCTGCGTAAAGCACTCGCGCGTTCTTTGGCCCTGCTTCCGGTACCTGCCTCTGTATTTCTAAATAACCTGCTTTTGTTGTTATCTCTGCTTTATATGTTAGATATAATCTACTTACTGTCTGCCACGGAAGATGAAGGTATGGTTATCTGTAATCCTGCTCTCCTCATGTGCTCCCCACCCCATCCTCTCAATGAAAACATATTCCAGCTTTTGGTTAAGTCAGTACTCACACAGCGTTTACATTATTATGTCTGCGAGAATATTCTTCACAGCTGAGCTATGTAGTGTTTGTACTAAGACTCTGCAAATCTGTAAAAACTGCTTTTATTAACATAAGGCACATTAAGCTGAGAAACTGCGTTCTCTAAAATCACAGTCACGAATTTTGCTGTTTGAAATCCATCGGTGAGGGTGGAACACCGCCCCTGCCCAGAGGTCTGAGCCGCGTGGGTTACTCCGACACAGAGAAGTATCCCTGAATGCTTCTGTGTGTCAAAACTTCAGATGGTGGGGTTTGGGACACAACAGTAGATTTATCTTAATTATGTAGTTATCTGTTATATATAATTATCTAAAGTTAGTTATCTTAATTTTGTAGTTTTCCAGTGGACCCTTAGTCCACTTCTCAGCCCAGGCTTGCTGTGGATTCCCTCACTTATATCCGTGTTTACCTTGAATCTATCAAAACACTGCTTTATTTAAATATTACCTAAATTCCGCCTTTCCCATGTCCTATGGTGACGCTGCTTTTTCCTTTGATGAGCTGCTCCATGTAGTTCCTCTGGTTTGTACTCCTTCTCACGGCAGCAAGTTGGTAAACCTGACTCTGGCTGACACACAGTTATGTTCCTCTTTATAACTCTGTTTTCCCTGAAGTTGGTAATTGCCTGACCTTTTCTTTTACTTGGTTTTCTATATACTTATCATGAATTCACCCCCAAACTCTCTGAAAGATATGTACACCTTCTCTCAATGCCTTAAGCACATTGGGTAATTCCTTGGTCCCACACTTTTCCCCTTAAAGGCACCTCTTAGAGCCCCTCGTCCCCTGGCTCCAAGAGTCTGATTTCTCCCCTCATTTCTTTTTAAAAATATGACAACCTGCCTTGGCTGGTGCGGCTCAGTTTGTTGGTACATTGTCCCGTGGACCAAAAGGTTTCGGGTTCCACTCCCGGTCATGGTTGCTGATCCATCCCATCAGGGTGCACGCGAGAAGGCAACCCAATGTGTTTCTCTCTCACATCGACATTTCTGCATCTCCCCTTCCTCTCTCTCTAAAAGCTATGGGGTGAAAAGTCCTCGGGTGAGGATAAAAAAATAATAATTTAAAATATGACAACCTTCTCACTGCAGCTGGCCTGCACTCCTCATTCTCTTGCTTCTCTGCTCCTCCGCACCCTCCCAGATGGCCATGGAAGAAGAGATCACCACACTCATCATCCACAATGGCTCTGGTATATATGTGCAAAGCTGGCTTTGCTGGGGATGATGCTTCCTGGGCCATGTTCCCTGCTTCCATCCTCAGGGCACCCCTGACACGGGGCAGAATACCTACATAAGTGATGAGGCCCAGAACAAGTGTGGCATCCTGACCCTGAAGTACCCCACTGAGCACAGCACAGTCACCAACTGGAACGACGTGGAGAAAATCTGGCACCACACCTTCTACAACAAGCTGTGGCCTGCGAGGAGCACCCAGTGCTGCTGACTGGGGCCCCCCTGAACTCCAAGGCCAATCACGAGAAGATGACTCAGCTCGTGATTTTTAAAACTGTTTTTGACTCAGATTATGTTTGGGAACTTCAACACTCCTGCCATATACGTGGCCATCCAGGCTGTGCCGCCCCTCTGTGTATGCCTCTGGCCATGCCACTGGCATTGAACTCTAGGGATGGGGTCGCCCACACTGTGCCCATCTACAAGGGCTACACCCTCCCCCATGCCATCCTGCGTCTGAACCTGGCTGGCCGGGACCTGACAGACTCCCTCATGAAGATCCTCAGGGAGCGAGGCTACAGCTTCACCACCACCACTGAGCAGGAAATTGTGGTTGACATCAAGGAAGAGCTCTTCTCTGTCACCCTGGACTTCAAACAGGAGATGGTCACAACCTCCTTCTCCTCCTCCCTGGAGAAGAGTTAAGAGCTGCCTGATGGGCAGCTGATCACCATTGGCAACAAGCAGTGCCAGTGTCCAGAGGTGCTCTTCCAGCCCTCTGGTAGACTCCTGGTATGGAGTCTGCAGCATCCACCAGACAACATTTAACTCCATTATGAAGTGTGAAGTTGACATCCGAAAGGACCTGTATGCCAACACAGTGATGTTTGGTAGGACCGCCATGTATCCAGGCATCGCCAACAGGGTGCAGAAGGGGGTCATGGCCCTGGCTCGCAGCATGATGAAGGTCAGGATCTGCCCTGCTGGAGCTCAGGTACTTGGTGTGGATTGGCAGCTCTATCCTGGCCTCGCTGTCCACCTCCCAGCAGGTGTGGACCAGTCAGCAGAAGTAAGATGAGTTGGACCCCTCTATCGTCCACCACAAATGCTTCTAAATGGACTGTGGGCAGATCCGTAGCATTTGCTGCACGAATTGATCAAGTCTAAGTTTGCCCTGGCAAATGTACACATCTTGTGCTGATCTTGTGAAACTGGAATAAACCTTCGAACAGAAATTGTTCTTGAAGCTTGTATCTGATCTCAGCACTGGATTATAGACCTGGTTGCTGATTTTGGCCTTGTATTCAAGTTAACTGTTCCCTTGGTGTTTGTTTAATACCCTGCACGCATCTTTGATTTAAACCCCTGTACATGCTGTCGATCACTTGGTGGCCTAAACAAGAACATGCTTCTGCAAGAGAAATCCAGTGGCTCGATGAGAATCCACAAGACTGTGGTTCCCAATGGGTATTGACATGAGGGAGCTGCCTATTCTAGGATTTCTCTAGAGGCTGGCAGGAGTCTTGAACCACTTGTCATTTCTGTCCTGCCAGTCTGACGGGTTTGGGAGGCTCCCAGCGTCAGGACCCATTTTCCTCTCTTAGCTGATGTCTCCTGCCAGAACATCTGTGTTGTTACTTGCCTTGAGTTGGAAATTGGGTTGTATTTCCACCTGTAAATTTATTCATCCTTTTAATTTATGTAAGGTTTTTGCACACAATTCTCAATTCTTTAAGAGATGACAAATTTTGTTTTTCTATTGTCATATGAGAACATTAGGCCTTAGCAACATGTCATTTTGAGGAAAATAAAGTGCTACAGTTAAAAAAAAAAAAAGACAACCTTTGTCCTAACACCTATCTGAAAGCATCATGGTTAGTTGTCAATGCTTCCGTTTTCCTGACTTCTTTTTCCCCCTCCACCCCAGGAGAGGCCGAGTGTCTTGATATCTTTATTTCTCTAAAGTTTATCAAGGCACTCGACGTACGAACGAACGAGTGAATAAATGAATGAACAGAAGGGATTTTTGTGCATAAGTGGAGTTGAAGGAGAACCATATCGCAAGGTGGCTTTCTCTATGGCACCGAAGGAGAGAAGAGAAGCAGCACCGAAGCCCCAGGCGACCCCCAGGCGACCCAAGACGCAGTTTTCTGAGCACAGACTGCTGGACTCCGCTGAGGCGAAGACCGCCGCGCGAGCCCAACAGGCGCCGCCGCTAGGACTTCAACTCCCAGAAAGCAGCGCAAAGGCGAGCGCAGCCCTGGAAGAGTTCCGCACGCTGACGACGTCAGAGCCGCGCAGAACCGGGAAACGCGGGGCAGAGGTACGTGTGGGTTGAGGGCCAAATGGACTGGGCGGAGGGAGAAAGCGTGCGCAGCCCTGAGCCTAAGTGAGATGGAATGGGCTGGTGAGGAAGGAGGACAGATGGGTCTCAAATGAAATGGGGTTGAAAGATCTCCAGCTCCGCTTTCTCTTCCCCCAGCAACCATGACGAAATTAGCGCAGTGGCTTTGGGCACTGGCGCTCCTGGGCTCCGCCTGGGCGGCTCTGACCACTGGGGCCCTAGGCCTGGAGCTGCCATCGACCTGCCGGGAGGTCCTGTGGCCACTGCCTGCCTATTTGCTGGTGTCTGCTGGCTGCTATGCACTGGGTACTGTAGGCTATCGTGTGGCCACTTTTCACGACTGCGAGGACGCCGCCCGGGAGCTGCAGAGCCAGATCCAGGAGGCCAGAGCCGACTTATCCCGCAGGGGGATGCGCTTCTGACACCTTGACCCAGTTCCCGCTGGACGGCCCCTCCCTCCCATCCCCCATTAAACAGTAGCAAGTTTACTAACTTCACGTAGTATGGAGAATGGGAATTGGGGATTGTGTGTACCACCTGTCTAGAAGTGAGAGGCCGACCAGCCACCTTCCTCAGGTCATCTGAGCCTTTATCTTTGCATCCTGCTGGTGTTCCTCCTGTTTATTTCAAAGGAGGCGAGGGCCCCTTCTCAAGATCTAAGGATGGAAATGTTACACTTCTCTGGTCCTTTTAACCCTGTCAGGAAGTACTTCTTGAAGCCTAATTTAGTCTTCTTCATAACATCCAAGCCCTGTCCTTGCCAAGGCCTTCCTGGGTCTTTCCTAGGTTGCTCTGGTTCTCTGGTTGCTCTCTTTCCTGAGCCAGCCCTCCCAGCCCAAGGATGACTCTGACCATGCAGTGCACCTTTGCCCTTCGCCAAACCAGGCAGGCTGAGAATCACTGAATAGAGAATGAGCTTCAATGGGCAGGGGTAGGGAACAGTTTATTTTAAGGCACATTCTAAAGATTTCACCCCCAGCCTCCAAAATTACAAAATATAATCTCTAAAAAATAAGTGCTTTGTCTCCCGGGTCTCATCCAATCTTCTAAGTAAAGCTCTTTCCTTGGTCCCCAGATTCCCAAAGTTGTCTCTTTTTCTTTCCCATAATCCATGGCACCTGCGGGGCTGGTCATCCGGCACAGCTGAAACAGGTTGGTCTGAAGCTCTTTGGTAACAAGTTGGCATTAAGGTGCCCTGTGGTCATGTGAACTGCCTCAGGTTTGTAGGAGCTGACAGTTCCTGTTTTGCTCCTGAGGGTACTTCCAGAAAAGCCAGAGGCAAATGAAGCTGGTGGGGATTCCTGGAAGGTTGGGCACCTGAAATCCCAAGGACTGCGATGAGAAGAGGAGCTGCTTTTCCACTTTGCACATCTGTCACCCCATCCCTGCGCTGCTTACCATGATACAGGGATCTCTGAGCCGAAACCCATAGAGAGTCCAGGAGGCAGAGGTGAGGAGGGTGGCAATGGTCAGTGAGAAAGAGAGACGCTGGGTTGATTTAGTCTGAATGACTTTGGCCTGGGGAAAAGGATGAAAGACACTCCTAGCCCAGACACAGTAAAGCTCCTACCTTGCCTAATAATTTCCTCAGAAAAAAAGGTCAAATATCCTCCCTGATTTTCTGTTACCCAGCCTTTCCCTCCTACCTCCCATTCACCCACCTCTTCTGCCCTGCCTCCTCCCAGGATTTGAATCTTCCCTTCCCCTGGAGTGTAAGCTACAGTCTCTAGCTACGGGACCCAACCCTTCTCATCTCCCCAACCTCCACAGACACCCCCACTCACCAAATCAGTCAGTGGTGACAGGTACATACTGATGGTGAAGACACTGCAGAAGAGGCCCAGCTGCTGAAGCCTGGCCTCAATGCTGGGCACCAGGAGCCAAAAGTAGCCAAAACCCAGGAGAAGGACCCCCAGCAGGGCTGCTGTCTGTAGGAGCACAGCACGCTGCAGGGGCGAGAATAGCCTGACTTCTACATGTGCCAAAAGCCCTCTCTGATCCCTTCTGGAATTCACTCATTCATGCACCAGTGGAGGAGCCACTCTTTGTCTTGACCCAGTACTGCACTTGTCACAGCCTTTTTCTCCACCAGTGACTTGATCCACCCACAACACGGGAGGTTTCTAGGAGAGGGAAAGATATCTTTTGGGGGGAGCTTGGTATACACAAGAGGAGCTCAATAAACGCTTGTATAATTGAATGGGAACACAGCTAATGACCTCATTCTCAGCCACTGACCCTGGTTCTGAAGGAATCATGGGAGATAAAAGCACCCTCAGCTTATTGGGCAGCAAGGAGGCCTCATCAGGGTAAGCAGAGCTATCGGCCTTGCCAGAAAGGGGGCCATGTGTGAGTATCAGAAGGCTGGCATTCAGGAGGAAGGAGGACTGCAATGCTGGAGGGGCCTTCCAGGAAAAGTTGACAGTGCCAGCCTGTTCCAGTCTTCTAGGAACTACCGCTGGCTCTGCCAGCAAGCAGGACATGCTGCAGAAGAGGTGAGTGCAAGGGAGGGTCCCTACCTTCCGAGGGCAGTAGTGCAGATACACCAAGATATATGAGGTCTGAAGCACAGCACCCACAGCGTTGACAATGATTAGAGTCCCATCTCTCTTCAAGGTCCCATAACTCAGCCAGCTCAGGTTGCTGCAGGGTGGAGGGGAGAGACATTCGCCATGGGGATGAGTGTAGGAGGGGCACCCGAGGGGTCTCTTCCACCTCACCCTACCCACTCAGTCTTTCCGCTCAGCTTTCCCCCCTCTCACTTGACATCCGTGGTGAGAAAGGGCAGGAACTGGATATTGTCCACTCGCCGGGTCATCCACATATGCCTGAGGTCGGAGCTGTAACGGAGCCGAGAAGGCAGGGATGACAGGGGAAGGGAGAACCAGGCTACCGGGCATTGGAGACCCCTAATGTCTGTCATCCTCCCCTAACAACTGTACACCCCAGGGCCCGTTCTCAGCTCCCTTGCCTTTTTCAGGTCAAGTGACCAGCCTTGCTCTGGTACCCCGTTCCCCTCGACCCGACTCCACTTTGATCCCAGGTTCCGGAAGCAGCCTGGGGCTGCAGCCACGTCTCCATCCCCTCTCGCTCCTTTCCTGACTTTCTGGTCCTGCCCTATCCCGGTCCGGCAGCGCTCTCACAGGCCAGTGGAGAACATGCCGAGGGTAAAGATCACGCAAGCTCCAGAAAGGAGTGTGTCCGCCACGCCGCCTGTCTCCATCCCTCTCAAAGCAGGCTCCCTGCGCCGCAGGGCAGCCTAGCTGGTGGCAGGGCAAGCTGGGGTCCGAGCCGAGCCCCGCCCCTCCGCGTCCCAGGCACGCTCGGCTGTCACCCGGAAACTGAACCGGAACCCGGACGTAAGGAGGGAACTCAGGCCCCGCCCCCCAGCATGGCTGGCTCGCCAACTTTCCCGGGCTGACGTCGCCCTCCGAGTCTCTGTCAGTCAGCATCCTGGGGCTCCTCGGACTTGCCCGGTACCCGTTGCTTACCGCTCTCTGCTTACCCCTTAGATTACCTAGACCCCCCAGCCTCAACTCCCCCACAGGCCCACTCACGAGCCTACATGGTGGATCTCAAACCAAAGCTTGCTGGATCCAGCCAGACTTCAACCCGCTTTCCATCCACAGCTCCAGATCAGAACCTCATTGGCCCAGGACTTGGGAGGGTTTTTCTTCCCAGTTTGCTGAAACCTGTTCCCAGTCTCTCCCCTAAATTACAGGAATTGCCAGAAATGACAGATTCTGTCAGGTGTCTTCCCCATTCAGCCACACCACCAACTTGGCCGGTCCACCTGAAGTGCCCAGCACTTTGATGACCCCTTAGTCCCACCTGACTCATAGCAGGGAAGTTCCCATCCCAGATTCCCAAATATCTTGGTGGATCGGGGTGATGCCTCAGCTAGTGTTCCCTTGAGGGCTTCCCTGACCCACCCAACATTATGAGCACTTGCATGGTATGCCAAAACCCAAAGCCCAGCGCTGCGAGGGTGGGAATGGGGCAGAGGTGAGAACGGGAAGAACTTCCAGAGTGAGGTTAGCCTAAAACCAGAGAGACTGTGTGGGTATAACAGGGTGCAGCCAGGGGGACCTCCAAAGAGGGATTTGTAATGGGGTCCAGAACTCAGGATGTCCAGGAAATATAAATATAAATATATATATTTATATATATGATATCCTCACTCCCACAAGTCTGAACTGGGGGATGGGGCACATGGAGCAGGCCCATTGAGAGTTGTACTGCATAGCAACAGTTTTGCAACTAGCCTCAGGCATGATCATTTCACATATCTATGACTTTTAACTGGTTTCTTGGATATGTTAAATAGCTGTGGCCACGCTTTGAGCCAGGGGGATGGGAGTGACTTCCACCCAGGGTGTAACTGGGAGGCAATTCTCCCTGGTTACAGTGCCTGTGTGAGAGCTTGGAAATGATTGGCTCCTCGCCATGGGGCCACACCTGCCCGGACTTATTATGGGAGCCCAGAAAAGCTGGAAAAATAGAATGCTGGCAGGTGTAGCTGGTTGTGGGAGGAGTCAGAAATGGGGCTGCAGAGGAAGATTGGCACTGGGATTGAAACCCAGGCATGGCAGCCATGCAAGAGAGGGAACTATGCAGCTTTGGCAAGGAAGCGGGGAGCCACGTGGCTTTGGGGCTCCCTTTGTCACTCAGCTTAGGAAGCCAGAAAGCAAGATGTAGAAGTGATGCAGAGCTCTCCCTTAGCAGTTTGGAAGAATGCAGGAGAGACCCTGTGAGAAGGAAAGGAGTGAAAGGACTCTTGCTGGTGGGCCAGGAGAAGGTGCCACGCGGATTTGGATTAAGAACTGGAGATCCCAGTGACATGCCTGTTAGTGCTGGGAACTGCGGGGGGCCAGCCAGCAGAGCATGGGTTACTGGGAAGAACTGGGGGGGACCTGAGCCACAGACTTCTATTTCTTTTCTGAGACTGGGCAGAGGGGGAAGGACTGTGTGCATTTGTGGGTATTTTAAGGGACTCTGAGATCTTAATGAAGACATTAAGTCATTATTCAAGTCTGTACAACTTTTGGAATAAATAATTCCTTTCCTTTTCACCAATCTCTGACACTGAGACCTATAATTTCCTGGCAGTGGGCAAGGCAAACTTAGTACAGGGGGACCCTGGGAGAAGGGGGGGTCCATTCGATAATAGTATGTCATTCCCCACCTCCATGGGTCCATTCTGTAACATTAGGGGTTAGTGAGGGGTAAGAATTCTTTCCAGAGAGGGAAAAAAATTCAAACCCAGTTGCTACTGGTATCTCCCATAGCAGGAACTCAATGGCTGTAAGTTAGTATGGAGAGGCAGAAGAGTATGTACAAAAAAACAGGTTTATTTTCAGACAACATTGTATAAAAAAGAGCCAGTTATAGAAATCAGCAAAGACACACAGCAAACTTATATACAGATCCTGTACATGTGGGCCCTGCCCTAACAGCTCCACTCGAGGAATAGATTGGCGTACCCCCTGTTGGCACAGCCCTGGGGAGCACTGCCCCAGGACAGGAGATGCTGGGTCAGCCCAAGCACACCACCTCTCCGGTCCCTGTCTCCCAGGCAGGAAACTGTCTCTTGCTTTTCCTTCAGTCAGCTCATCTTGGCATCCTGGCTCTCTGTGGGAGGGGCAACTTTGCCAAGCTCAGTGTCCAACCCACATGACCCCAGACCACCTCTTCAGCTCCCACAGTGTCCCTCCTAAGAGTCCATATTTGCACAGCTTGTTTTTTTTGGCTTAAAGGTAGGAATGGCAGGGGAAGTACCGTCCCCACTTTGTCCGTCCCTCTGAGGTGGAGGCAGGGACGGCACTACCAGGCTTGCCCACCTCCTTTGGGTTAAAACCCTTAATACTGACTCATTTTGAGGCTGCTGGGTGGCAGCTTATAGATGTGGCTGGATGGTTGCCAGGACTGGGGCTTTGGGAGGGACCCCAGGCCAGGTGAGGGGTGCCTGCCTCTGCCTCCTCAGCCCAGATTCAATCCTTAGGCCAGATGTGGCATACGGCTTCACGGGGTTTGCAGTGGCAGAAACGGCAGGAGCAGCACAGCCCAGGCAAGTGGGAAGAGGCGCGGGGCGGCACTGTGACCGATGCTATGTAGAACTTGCACTTCTGGGTCATCTGCAAGGTGGAAGGGCAAAGGCTCCCAGGTGAGCAGTCCCACTACTGACACTGGCCCTCAGTCCAACAAGGTTGCCCCAGCCCCTGCCTGGCAAAGGAGCCTCCTCTTGTGTCCAACCCCTTAAGTGGGCCCTCCTGTTTGCCCCAGTCCCAATTTGCTCCAGCTACTTACCCGCTGGAAGTCTCTTCTCCTGTGGATTGGCATGGGCCTGAGGACTGTGTGCTAAAAGACAGGGGTAGCCGTAGGTCAGGCACTGTACCAGGGAGGGAGAAGGATGGGAGTGCTGGCTGGGCCAGGCAGCGGAACTTCTCTACCAGCCCATGTCATTGGCCAGGCCCATCATAGGGAGGGAGGAAGGAGGCCCACAGGGCCGGGACACTCACTGATTTTGCCATTGACGGTCACCTTCAACCTCAAGCAGTGGTCTTCTTGGTGGTGGATGGGTTTGGCTGCAAGATATACCCACAAGGTATTAAAGAAGGGGAAGGAAACTTTGTTGGAAGAAAACAGAATGCAAACGCCTCTGGCCCCGCTTTCTCAGTCCCTGCTCATTGGAACCACTTTCTTCCAAGCCTGGATTCTTCCCTTCCTTAGGTTTGCCCACTTTCTGCCCTGTGTTCAGTCCAACCTCCTCCTTTGGAATAACCCTTGGCCTTGGAGATGGTGGCAAAAAGAACGTAGCCACTGTCCCCTCCTCAGAGTCCATCCTTTACTCTTCCTAGCTGAAATTTGAGGAACACCCTCTTCCTCCCAGGCACATCGAAAGGGTGAGGTCTGGATGCATTCTATGCAAAGCTGATCTTATCTCTTGTAAACCCGCCAGTGGCTCTCCACTGCCCTAAGGAGAAACTCCTTAGCACTTCTAGGTCTCCGTGATCTGCCCTGTGTATCTCTCCAAGCTCCCATCTCCCCACTTCAAAGTGTCCCTCCTACCCTAGCCAGGCTAAACATATGGAGTTCCCTGAAGATGTCATGTTCCCTTTGCACATGTCCTTTCATTTATGGCTAAGCCCTCTGCTTGTCCTAAGCTCCGGGGAGCCAGAAAGCCCTCTCTGAAACCCCCTAATCTGGAAGGTCCCAAGGTCATATTTCCAGGGCCCCTGTGCTCACTCATGCCTACCATACTACACTGTTCTAACGGTCTGTTGACCAATGCGTGTCTCTTCCCAGCTTCCTTGAGGACAGGGGCCCTGTAGTGTTTTATTTCTCTTTGTGCCTGTACAGCCAAGCAGTGTTCCCAGAATACAGTAGAAGCTCACTCCATATTTGTCACGTGAAGGAATGAAAACAGAATCCAGGATTGGAGGCCCTCTGCTGCTTGACTCCCCACTGAGCACGCTCTCAGGCACACTCATCGAGGTGGCTCCATCCCCCAGTGCGGGCCACCTCTGCGCCTGCGCCTGCCTCCAAGGCACTCACAGATGTAGTAGTAGCTGTGTCCCTCTTTGAACTCCTTGCCCAGGGTGAAGGGTGTGTAGCGCAGGAACTTCTCGGACAGCTTCTCCGGGCCATGCCTGGCGTTGGGGTGGTTGCACTGCCAGCGGACCTGGCTCTTGGACTCGGGCTGGCACGCCTGGTACTGCTCTAGCTCTACCAGGTACAGTGTATACTGCTCCATGGCAGCGGCTGCCACAGAGTCGTCTTCGTAATGGGGACAGATGATGTCCAGGTAGTCATTTAGCTGCACATGTACCGTGTAGCCTTCACTCCGGAACCTGCATGCGCGTGTACGCAGAGGGGAAGGAAGCAAACAGTCACTCAGAAGCCAGACCAGAGCCTTGAGTCTCCAAAGGTTTACATGACCTCTCACATTTCACACTGGACCCCCACACAAAGATGTTGTGACAATCTCAACTCCCAATATTTACTGATCTTGATCTAAATATCTTTCCACCATCTCCAAATACCCTCCACCCTCATTGTTTCCTGTAATTCAATAAACCCCACCCACTTAGTATCTTTCAGGTAACAAAGCACTTTCCATAACCCCCTGACATTTACCCAAGGATGAGCTTCTAAATATTTCCTTAGCTCACTCACCATTCTCTCCTGGCCACACATATTTTCCCAAACCTATTCCACCAGGTGCTCCTTTTCATGCTATTAGAGCTCAGTCTGAGACCCTAATTCTATTATTAGGATCCTTCCTCTTTACCAGGCTGGCACTCAGCCTGAACACATCTGATGTCTTCATTG